CTCTTCCCTGATGACTCTGGCTTGTGTCAAGTTGACAAAAACTAACCAGCACAAAAGTTTACCTACCTTTGAAATCTGGAGAAGTTACTGTGCTTGTAAGGAGACCCCCGGGGCCAGAGGCAACCCAGTTCAGTGGTTCACTGTTACGCTACACTGCATATGTTTCTCTTCCTAAAAGATTTTCCTTCTCAGTGTACCTTTTGTTGATTGAGTACCTTGTTAATCCTTATGAAAACAGTTAGCATTTTGAGTAAGAAACCTACCCAGTCTTTGGATTTTTGTTTTGAGACTGGCCTCAAACTTGTGATCCTTCTGTTTCAGTCTCTTGAGTATTGGGATTATAGGCCATGTGCTAACATGCCCATCCAGTCTTTGAGTCCATGTTGTCAATCGTCTCTACATGTTGCCTATTTGGAGCATGAGAGCTGTTAGTAGAGGATCTGATGCTACTCCAAACGAGCACGGTCCATACTCTGAGTTTACCATCAGGTGGAGGAGGCAGTGCAAAGAATAGAGACAGCTTAGGGAATGCTTCTCAGAGGAAATTCATGCTATGTAGTGACTAAAAGGACAAGGAGAATTACCAAGTAAAAGGATGAGAGGAGTAGTAACAAAATGAGTAAAAACTATTTGCAGACGGTGTGTGGGTGTGATTGAGTGAAACTGGCATCTCTCCCTCGCTCTCCAATCTCTGCTGTGTGGCGTCTTTCCACTGAACTTCCGCCCTTTTGTTAGAACAATGTTCCTATTGCTCCTTCTAGCACCTGTTCTACAGATATTTCCTCTATTAAGTTATGAGAACTCTTACAGGCCCCAGTGTCTCATACTCCCCTTGCAGACAATTAGTGACCTAAGACCTTTTGCTAGGCTCCACCTCTTGATGAGGACTAATCCTTTAACATTGGCCTTTGAGGGGGGCGGGAGGGGGGGAGAACAAGGGAATCCGTGGCTGATATGTAGAACTAAATTATATTGTAAAATATAAAAAAAAAACATTGGCCTTTGGGGGAAATATTCTAGATACAAACAATAGCAATTGTAAGATTTCTCAGTCCTAGGGCAATAATTTAACATTACAGCCCAGAATACATGCATATTATTCAAGCATTAAATGGCCTGGTACCAGATCTATAAACCCAGATACACAGGACACTGAGGCAGGGGGATTGCAAGTTCAAATACTACCTGTTGATTAGAACAAGTTCAACATCAGCCTGGGAAACTTAGTGAGGCATCTGTTAAAAAGATGGTTTTTATGTTGTTTGTTTGTATGTGTGTCCCCCTCCCCCTCCCCCTCCCCCGACACACACACACACACACACACACACACACACACACACAAATGCTTGGAATATAGCCAAGGCAGAATGCTTGGTTAGCATGCTGGGGAGGTGAGATAAAACAAATAACTACCACAATCTTGTGTTTTTGGAAAGATTCCTCCTCCTCTTCCTTTTCCTGGTCTTCGCTGTCGTCCTCCTCTTCCTTTTCTGACACAGGGTCCCTGGCTGGCCTGTAACTCACTACGCAGACCAGGTTGGCCTTGAAGCCACAAAGATCTGCCTGTCACTGCCTCCAGAGTACTAGGATTAAAGACCTGTCACCACACCTGCCTAAGTTATTCCTATTATATGTGATGAAGCAGGAATTTTATGTTTTATACTTCTTAAGGTGGCAATGCATTAATGAGTCACAAAATCAACTTACTGGGCCAGAGTGAGCACCTTAAAAACAGAATCATCTGCTGGAAACAGAATGGAAAATTGTGAAGGTAGTGAAACTCTGTGACCAGTCTTTTAAATTTTACACAATGTTTCCTGGGCTTTCTGTTTTGTTCTTTCTTGGATTGTGTGATTTTTTTCTTTTTCTTTTTTTCACAAAACTATACAGGTCAGTGATTATTCTGAGTGTGGGTTAGGAGTATATGGTTTCAAGTTTTGCTTCTGCTACCTATAATGGTCTCCTACATCCCGCTTGCCCAGTAGGTAAGACGGGAATAATTACAGTACATACTCAGTTTCAAGGATTAAATGAGGTAATAGAGTGCTTGGCGTCTAACACGAAGGAAACATTAGCCATTGTATTTCTTTACTTTTAAAATTTCTCTCTAGTATTAGGTACTTTTTTTGCAAGGGTGGAGTGGGGCTCTACTCAGGTTGCTAAGTAGAACCAAAGGAAGTATTGTGTGTATTGAAGTGAAAGACTCTGGGAAGTAGACTGCCAGGGGCAGCAGATATCAAAACGAAACAATCTCAAGGATAAAGCAACACCCCCAAGACTGGAGTGCCTCACCGCTGCCAGTGATGATCCCGGGAGTGGCAGATGTCTATTTCCTTAAGGGCAGCTCTACCTGCAGCTCCTCCCTCTAATATGAACACGTCCAGGGCTAGCTTCTCATTACTCCTTTAGACCAAATTCCAGTTCAGACAGAAGGTCCACCAAACCCTACTGTGCATCTATGTGAGTATATTCTGTAAAGGCGAATGTATCCCACATTAAAAATATTTAACATATTTAGTGTGTACCTCTTAGCCGTTTCCTGCAAATTTCTATTTGACATTCAAGTTCTCTTCTCAGTCTTTTATCACATTCCCTTTCTTCTTGCATGAAACAATACCGGTTTTTAAAAATATACTTGTGGGACTGGGGAGATGGCTCAGTGAGTAAAGTGCTTGCTGCGTAAGGGTAAGTAAGGACCCGGGTTCAAATCTTAAGAATCCATGTAGAATTGGATTTAGTAAATCCAATCTGTAATCCCAGTGCTCCTCTAGTGAGAAGGGAGGTGGAGCTAGGAAATCTCTGGAAGCTCCAGCTAATGTATATAAATAACACAGCAACAAACACAGAGAACTTGCCTCAGACAAGGTGAAAGGCTAGGTAGGACCCACAGCTGAGGCTGTTCTCTGACTTCCATATGCATGCCATGGTACTCATAGGCCAGCATATACACACACACACACACACACACACCCCTAAACATACATCCTACATATACAAACAAACTTGTGGCATTAGGGAAAAAAAAATACTGAACAATCAAATGATCAAAGAATATTTTTATCATGCCCTATACTAAAAACATTTAACACATTTGGTACATAGTGTTTCCACTCTTAAAAAAAATTATGATGACATTTGCCTGTGGGAGAATCTGAGGCATTAGCTAGATCTCTTAAAAAAAAAAATTCCTGTTTGGAGTAATGATATAGAAGACTTGTCAGCATGTGAATAATGAAAAGACAGTCTTACAATTGTTCTTAATGAAAAATAAATACCAGTATTTAGAAATATGTGGAAGTTTTAAAAATTGTAATTCTTCTATATTGCGGCACAAAATAAAAGTATTGCTAAAATTACGTACGGACTAAAAATTTATTTTATGTCACTTGATAAGGGTCAAAACATTGCATAGTATTTAACTGCACAGATTAGGTTCTTTCAAAACTAATTATCTACGTAGATTTTTCTGGGATACATTATTGTTTTATTTTATTTTTTGAGGCAGGATCTCTTTGGTCCAGACCATCCTGGAACTCAACTCTCTGCTGCTTCTACTTAGAAGCTTATTTTCAACCAGGTCCTATCTCCGGTTAAAGGCTACAAGTTTCCCAGTCATCACTCCCAAAGAAAAGTGTAAACAAACCATTGTTTTAGATTTAAAGACACATAGGAGCTGTCCTGCAAAACCCCTGACCAGGCTATTTGTCTCTAAATTATAAAAGTGGTCCCGGCTATTTTCAACATTTCCTCTTCTAGGCACTATTTTTCCAAGGCGTTTTGTATTTGCTACAAGACATACAATTTGAACTTTTTTTAAATCATGAGGTTTACTTTTTTTCTGCCTGAAGGAGTAACGCGGGGCTCCTACGAAGCAGAATTCGTCTTCATATTCTGTGGTCCACTTTCTGCCTTCACTTTCTTTGCAATGGTCTTTTAGCCAGAGCTGGACAGTCGCATTTTCGTCACGTGGGGGAAGGCTGGAAAGTTTACTCCGGTTACTACTTGTTAAATTTAACAGGTGACTTGTAAAAGCTTTGCTCGGGCCAAAGAGAGAACGCAGTAGGAAGAGGAGACTATTCCTTCAGCAGAGAGAAGCGCACACAGCACTGGGGAGGGCGGGACCGCTCCGCAGCAGCAGTCCGCGACGAGCCGGAGCCGGAAGGGCGGGTCTCGGGGGCGGGGCCTAGCCGGACCTGGGCGGGCCGTGCCATAGGCGGGGCTCGCTGTGGTTGGACTGGAGCGGGCGTGGTCTACTCTTAGTGGGCGTGTCTAGCTGGGCGCGGGAGGTGGGGGGCAGAAGTGGGACAGCGCAAGGGCCCATGGGAGAAGTGCCCCTGTGACCCGGGCGAAGAACCCACCGGCCCCTGGTGGAGAACAAGTGTCTGTTAGCAAACGTGTAGAAGTTCTAGTGAACAGGTGAGGGGAGGAAGGCAGTGTCTGCGGAAAAACTACGTAAGAACCCTGTCGTCCCGCCCCGAGCCCGGGCGAGAATTTGTCTGACTTGTTCTCGTGGGTCTCTCCCCTTCCACCGACCCCGGACCTTCTCACCTCAGGGGCTCTGTGAGGATGGTAACGAGTGGCCGCCTAAGCGCGCCAGCTTGCGAAGCCCATGGGCACGCGGCAGCTGGCCGTGTGCGCTTGCGCGCCGGTCTGGGCGGGGCAGGGCGGGGCGGGGCGGGGCGTCTCCCGTCGGCCGCTGGAGGCGGGGCCTGGGCCCGAGCGCCGCGCCCGCCGGCTGACCTCGTTGAACGCAGGTCCGTGACGTCACCCCGCCGTGACGCGTACGCGGTAGGAAAACTGTAAGTTTGCGAGGATCCTGCAAGCTGCCTGGCTTGCGGGGCTCGCGGGGCCTGAGGGCTGCTCGCTGTCACGGTCGCGGTGTTGGCCGCGGGCACCGGGAAGCCTCGGGAGACCCGGGAGCCACGAACGTGACGCCGGGCCGGTGACCGCCCCAAGTGGGAGCGCGCCCTCCAGGGACTGCCGGCTTGTGGAGGCGAGGCCTCTCCTGAGCCTGGCCAGCACCCTTCCCGCTGGCCTGTGACAGCTAAGAGCGGGTGATTATGGCCTGGTAACAGGGAACTGGCAAGGCCCTCCTTAAAATTTGTTGATAAAGAGATTAGATTCCCAGTCTGCATTCTCATTTTGCAGTAGGACATGCTCGGTCAGCCTGTCATGGAGAGCCCCTTCAAAGACTAGCCCTGTGCCCATCTTCCTTTGGGATCCTGCAAATGCCCAGGTGACTGATGACAAGTTACGTGCTGTGTTGCCTCCAGCTTCCTTTATTTTCCTTTCCATAGCGCCACAATACCTTGAGACCCTCTGAGCTAACCCAAGCTATGTAATCCTACACAACTCTTATGAAAATATTGATTATTCTGAGCAATGTGGTAACCCATTTGTATGTAAGGATCTTTCTCAGGGCTTTGCCTCCTCCCCTACCCTGACCCATCTGATCATGACTTTTGAACTTGAAGGTATCTCAGCTATTGTATTGATTGACTAGGGATCAAGAAATAACCGGTATCACTATCACATCTTGGCAATATGTTGTCCCCTACCTCACCCCCAATCTGGCTTTTACAGAAAAATGTTTTTAGCAGCCCAGAACTAGTAGATTATACTCAACACAAATAGGTAGAGGCAACTTGTATGCTTATATGGTTTAGCCAAGGGAAGAGTTAGTTACAACATTGTAACACTTCTCACACTCTGGAACAAGAACTTGTCAGGAACTTTGAAGGGAATGTACATACTCTAGGATGGATTTATATGGTAGATTAAGAGGCCACATTTCTGTGAATTCAGTGGAGGGTGTTAAATCCTTACAGAAGACCCTTTGAATTAAAGCAGGGCTTCTGAGTTTTGTTGTGTTAGTAGCTTTCCAAAGACAAGTCATCTAAGTCTTGGAACTTTTTTTTCCCTCTGTCTCTAAATGGGAGATGATAGTGTAGCTTTTGTTACTTTTACAAGGATCAAATGAGACCATGATGGAGAGCACAGGCAGCTTTCTAAGTATGGGATGTTGTGTGCATCAGCCACCACCCAAGTTGAGATACTGCATTCAGAAGTCAGGTTCTGAGTCAGAACTAGAGATAGCGTGGCAAAGGGGAAGAAGACGGATTACACCCAGCAGAGTTCAATTCCAGTGGAGAAGCAGACACCAAGGATTAGGCACAGAAACTTATTTCATGTGAAATGAAGGTAAGAGGATGGTGAGGGAACAGTGAAGGTTGTTTTAATCGTCTCAGGGAGGACCATGGGAAGGAGGGGCAGTTGAATTGTTCTGAGGCCGAGTGGGAGCATATCAGGAGCCCAGCTGGTGGCTTTCAAGCTCCTTGGGAGGCCAAGGCAGGAGGAGCACAAGTTCAAGGACTGCCTTGGCTGCAGAGGGAGGCTAGGGCCAGCCTGGGTAGAAGTAGGACTGAGGAATGTATAACTTAGTGGTAGAGGTGTGGCCCTGGGTGCAATCTCCATGTGGGAGTGTGGGTGGAGGTAGTATAACTAACTGCCTGACCTGGAGAGCTTCCCATATGCAAAGCACATTTCTAAACACTGAATGCTTTACAACCACCTTTAAGTTAAGAAAACTATCTCTGCTTTTGTAGATGAGGAAACTGGCACATGTTAGATGTGTACTCCGGCTAAAAGCTTAAGAGACTCAAAGTCTTGCATATTTTACTAAATTTGCATTAGTTTTATTTGGCACTGCTATACTTTTTACCATTTGAATTGAGGTCATCTGATTTGAGAGGCTATGTTCCAAATGACTATTCTGTCTCAGAGCATAGTAAGGAAGGGGAAAGAAAAGTGTTGACATGTAACCTTGAAACATCTGATAGGCTCTGGTGGGGTCTTGGAGCCAGTGTCCAAGTAGACATGTTACTCCTAAGTGTAATGGAAAAACCACAAGACTGTACCATCATGGGAATGGTATCTGTTTTCGACTTTCCTCCATGGAGAGTTAACTGTAGAGTCTTGGAGTGGTGGAGGGGCCGTGAAAATGAGGAGATAAGAGGCTGTTGCTGTGCTGTACCTTGAGATGGGGAGATGGTGTGGTACCTTAGACTAGTAGAGACAGTTGTGGAGGTAACATTGAGAGGTAGAACTGCTGTATTGACAGGACTTACTGAAGAGGATGCTGAGAGAAGAGGAGAATAATAACTTTTTAGGCTTAGGGTGGAAGAACTAGAAGAGTGATGCTGTTTTTTGAGATGACAGATTTGGGAGGGAAAATAAAAGTTCAGTTTTACTTTCAAGTTTTAGATGCTTGTTAAATTAGTAATTATGAGTGTTCGTAACAGTAATAATAATTAGCATAATGTATAGATGAACTATATTCCAGGCAAGGTTTTAAGTATTTTTACATATATCCTTTTAATCCTTAAAACAGTTGTAAGTGCTAAGAACTTACTGTTACCATTTTGCAGATGAGAAAATGGAGGCACAGGGAGCTGCCTTAAGTCATCTAGTAGGGCAAGGCCTCTGACCACTTGAGTCCTTACCCATTGTCGTGAGTTTGTGAATATTAGAAGTGAGATTCACACCCAAAGTGCTCAGGCTTTGGAGTCCATGAAGGTTAAGCTCTGTAACTGTTCATGTGGACATGTTGAGTGTATATGAAATGAATATGGTCAAGGATGGAAATGCACATATTTTTGAAAAGACTGACTACTTTTGTTATTTTCTAATCCTTGGTTGATAACAAGAGGCAAGAGAAGGAAGCATACATGGTAGGACTGTGCTAGTTGGTTCTTCCTTGTTTGATTGGATGTCTGCAGCTAACGTTCATTCTGTCTCCCATCTCCACAGTGTGGGTTCAGGGGGGATGAGTTTCTCTTTCACATCTCTGTCTCTAGTCTCCTTCCATTGCCTGCTATTCATAGCTGGTAAGGGTGACTTTATGTGAAGGATATTGGTTAGGTTTGGGGAATTTGGAGATGAATAAACATAGTTCTCTTTCTGGAGGAGCATAACATGAGGAAGAACCTGTGGGAATAGATTTAGAGTAGAATGAATGCATAAATCCATGCTGATTAGTTCCTCCTGTCTTCCCACACCCTTTCCCCCCTGCCCCACACTTGAGAGATGGGGTGTGAAAAGGGCAAAGGAGCAAAAGAGGGCCTACACAATTGCATGATGGATTGGGAGCTCCCCAAGAGTCCTTTTCAACAAAAGAACTACTCAAAATCTTGCATATTTTACTAAATTTGCATTAGTTTTATTTGGCACTGATAAAATTTTACCGAATGAAAAATTCTGATATTTGACTATCTCTATGGAGTGATGACTTTCTCCAGTTCTATTACCTCAGTGTTGACAGGGCTTACTAGTGAAATAAGGGAACTGGCGTGAAATGTTACAGCTTGCATAACAAAGGGCAATGGAGGGGCCATGTGTGAAATACTCAGGCAGGTTTCCACTGTTTAGAAATGTGTTGTGCCAAAGTTCCACACCTTACTATTTGACTTCTCTGTTAATCAGCCCCTTAAGATTGATATACATGCGCCTTTGGCCTTATTGTTTTGGGTCTGTGGTAGTACAGTACTATGTGGGGAGGAACTTAAGGTGGAGGAGGTCTGAGTAAGCCCCACCTCCTAAAAGTTCCAGCATTGTAGGCTGGCCACCAAACCTTGCACATATGAACCTTTTTGGAAGACATTTAAGCTCCAAACCATAATGCATGCTTTTCATTCATTCATCTCTCTCTCTCTCTCTCTTTTCTTTCTTGTTTCAGTTAATGCTTTAGAAATGCAGGCTTTTAAAGAAATTACTTATTTTATGTGTATGAGTATTTTATCTGCATGATACACACACACACACACACACACACACACACACACACACACACACACACACACATACACTTGGTGTCCATGGAAGCTAGAAGAGGGCATTGACTACCCCTGGAACTGGAGTTGCAGGTGGTTGTGAGTACCATGTAGGTGCTGGGAACCAAACCCAGGAGTGATGAGTGCTTTTAACTGCTGAGCTGTCTCTTCAGCCCCAAATTTCTTTCATGTTTTATACATACTGAATTAGCTACCTCAGTTACATATTTATTAATTTTTCAAAAATCTTTTCTCTATGAGTTTTCATATGTGATTTTTGGCAGCATCTGGAAGATATAGTGGGCATATGTTATCTTCATAATTTGACAGATTAAAAAAATACTGCAGGTCAAATGATTTGTCCTATGTGTTAGAACAATTTAATGACAAAAAGCAAAGTGAACTTGGAGTTAAGTCTTAATACCTAGGGCTACTTTATAGTTACCTTTAGCTGGTAACAGTTCATCTTCCTAAGAGTCCTGTGAAATGAAGCTATTATCTGTCTGATAGAGAAGGAACTGGTTTAAAATAGTCATCTAGCAAGGTCCCCCAACTCTAATGTGTATCCTTGACTGTTTCCACTGAATTATACTGCCTTTCCAGATATTTCCAGGACCTGAATTTGACAACTTTCAGTTAAATTCATCAAATCTATACTTTGACTACATTGGTCTCTTGGCACATAGACTTACATTGCTGTCGACACTTGAGTCACCTGGTAAAGTCAGTGTTTGTGATCCTCCCAGATTTGACTTGAGTGGGGATTTCCTGAGTTTTGTTAAACTATATGGTAACAAGATGTGCTGTTTAGAGTTTCATTTTTGAGACGACTTAAGTCCAGAAGCAGTCTACAAATACAACTCTGAGCTGTATTTACCTGTAAGTAGGTGAGGAAGTCTGTGTGGAGCAGTCACTTTGCTGTCTGACTGATTCATGTTTGGGAGAGTACTCCCATTTGTACCTCCTTTGAATCTGAGTCTCTAGTATTCTTGGTAGTGTGGATTCAAATTAAAAAAAAGAGAGATAGAAAGGTTAGCTACCTTTCATGTCAAATTTGAGGGTATTTCTCTTAGTTTTTTTTCCTGTGCTGATCTAATCCACAGACACACTTGACAACAGACAAAATGATGGTATGGAATTTGTTGTTATTTTCCTTCTGATAAGCAGACTTATCCTACTCTATTGAGTTTCTCTTTTGTGAGGTAATAGAAGCTGGTGATAGGTAATTATCTCCTAAATTGTAAACAAGAGTTTATCAGATTGCCCAAATAAATACAAATAAAATGTAAATGATTTTTACATTTTAACACTTTTGGGGAGGGGGCGGTGAGACAGGATTTCTCTGTGTAACAGCTTTGACTGCCCTGGAAACTCGCTTTGTAGGTCAGGCTGACCTCAAAATCACAGA